CAACCCCAACACACAACCTGGATCGGGTCATCTCAGCTCTTCTCGTTGTTCCAGCTGATGGCTACCAACAAACGAAACCGCCTCATTCCAGCAGGATAGCATATTCCAACGACCTATCGCTTGCCACCATGAGCAACTTTGTTGTCACCGCCTATCTTTTACATTTCGATCCCTGTGAACGATACTTATCACAAAAATCATTCAAAAGGACCAGGCATAAGATAAGGAACTGCGTACAAATCAATTCTTCGTTCAAGACACGGTGACTTGGAGATTGAACACAACTATACTAACTGGTGTGGCCTACACTTGACTCAGAAGTCTGCAATGCATGCATATCATCGGATTGATTGATTGGCTGATGCTGCCTGAGACCTCACACTCGCACACGCATGCACTTCACGCGGACTTACCCTGATTTAATATCGATTCACTCCAGCCTAACAGGGGTTAGTATTGAACTGTCCGCGCTGATTGATTGGTCGATTGTGTGACTGTCCTGCCTTACCGAATTTTGATGTCATGCAGCGCTTGTGTTCGTTGTTGGCTTCTCTGATCGCTTACGTGTTTAGGTCCCCGTTTATTTACAGCCCAACAGGCTCGCTACATAAGTACCTGATACTAGTAAAAGTTCAGCCTAATTCACAACGTGGTTATTTACCTAATTAAACAGGGCGCAACAGTAGCAGGTCACGATGTTTAATAATCTGCATAGATCAGTAGTGGGTGAATAACTACCCAAATCCAAATGCGTGATTCACTGATGAAGTGAGCACGTTCTGGATTTCAATATGCATCTTCATAACTCCATTACATTGTGGATAAAACAAAACAGAAAAAAGTGTTTCATTTCATTGGTAATGGGATAACTCTTACCTGAATTCCACGTTCACCTTTCGATCCCTGAAAAATCAAATCAAATATCCAAATTAATGAAAAAAATGTTTCGCATGCTCTAATATACGAACAAAAATACCAGCTTGAGTTCAAACTTACCATAAGGCTAGAAATTTCTGGACAGTTCCACTAGAAGGGAAAAAATAGTGTTAGGCCGTGGTTACAGATCGAATTAAACTTACCACCTCTGAGCAACTGATGACCGGATAA